AATTGATTCATTTGGAAATTCTAAACCCAACATATAAATACACAAAAAAAAGATATATATATATATATCGAGATACATACATATGTATGTAAGGCGAGCTGAAAACAACAGATGACAGTTTTTGGTAGCCGTTTTCGGTAAAACAAAAGCCGGCCTGAATTGGGCCAGCAAAAGAAAGGAATAAAAGAAATGTATATGCATGAATTTCATTTATTAAATAAACATTGCTCGGCTCGGCTTGGCTCGTCTTGGCTATCAATCAAAAAGCATTTTTCATGTCAACTGGCAAGTTTCATTCAAAGACTCGACCAGACAGCCTTTGTGTGTCCTTGTGTAAATGATATGCCGAGCACAAGTTTTACAAGAATGAAAATAGGCCTGAGAACTGCAGCAGCTGTTTGGCGCTGCTCGCCTTAAGTGCTGCCTGCCAACTGAAACCCATTCAAATAAAACAAAATAAAACAGTCTGAGCCAAAAGCAGTTTGCATTTTAATACATATTTTATTTGTCGGTCGCACGGAGCAGGAGGATGGGGGCGAGCAGTTGTCAGACAGAAGTCAATTTGGCATAACTGAATTTATGCCAAAAGGCACAGCACACGCGCTTTTGTAATGTTAATAAGTAACAGTAACAGTTATAGCAGCAGCAGCAGCAGCAGCAGCAGCAGCAACAACAACAATACAAACAAACAAAGAACAACAAGTATAACAGCGGCAACAATGTTGATATATACAAACAACATGCTTAAAGATAATATTCTTAAATTTCGAACAACTGGTAGCAACTTTTGCTACCAGCACAATACAAACACAGAGAGAGAGAGGCAGACACATACAGTTACAAGACCCAGCACATTCTGAGCAAAAGTAGCGCCAACTTTGATAAGATAACATAATTTCTGTCGTTTGTCACTTGCTGAAACTGACAATTAGAAAAGTTTATCATACAACGGCAACTGGGGTATGCCAATGCCATTGGCGCTGTTTCTTCTACTGCTGCTGACGCTGCCGTTGCTGGGCGGCGTGAGCCCTATAACAATGGGCGTGCCAGTCAGCCGACTGCCCGTCGTATTATGTTTGCATGTACATTACATACACTGAGAAAAAAAGAAAAAATATAATGCAAATAAAAATAGATATACATAAATATTTATATTTAACATTTCATATATTTAATAAAAATTTTTAACAGAAGTAAAAATGTACTAGCGTTTGCATATGATTATACATAATAGCTTATAGATGATGAAAATAATTTCCAATTGAATTTTTTTTAATTAAGTGTTTAAGGTAGTAAATCTTTTGGCGCAGGTAGAAAATTATGAAATATGTAAAAATCAGTCAAAAATATTGGAGAAGTGAATAAACATAATTTCAGCATAAAGCTTCAATTTTGAATAAGTTTCATTTAATAAAAGAAATTATTAGAAAAAATGAAATTATTGAATAGATTTTCATATTTTTATAAGATTAATCAAACACAACTTAATTCAATATATAAACTAATTTATTGTTGAAAATATATATAATAAATATTTCATATTTATTTTTAATTCCAAATATATAGCCTATATATTTTTAAAAAATTTTTCTAAATATATATAACATCTTTATTTTAGGCACATCTCGTTGTAACACAATTGTTTCATGCAGTGTATATATACATATAGATAGCGACAGACAGTTGTTGGGCGGCCCCGTCCAAGTGTTTGCGCCTCAATAAGTTTCGAACCAGAGCGAAGTTTATCTTGGAATGGCAAGCGACAAGCGTCAGTCAAAGTTCTTGTTCGTGTGCTTTTGAAAAATTGGCCTCCCGGCCCCCAAAGTGGGCTGTGTGGGCATGGCTTTAATGATCCGGCGCTGCTTTAACTTGTCAGCCTTTTTGCGATCCAATGCTTAAGTGTCTAGGCAGCTGGCTGCCTAGTTGGCATGGCAAATGATTTGTTTCAAATAAATGACTTTAACCATTTGCGAATGCAAAAAAACCGCAGAGCCAGCCGCAGCACTTCAGCTAAAAAGTAGGCAATGCCTTTTTCTCTTCTTTTTCTACTTGCTTTTGGCTGTTTTATTATTTTCGAGTAGCGCCAAAAAAAAAACGAGAGCAATATAAAGCAAACCTTCAACTCTTTCTGACTGACTGGCAGTTGCATTTCCACTGCAGTCATTCATTCAAATTTGACGATGGTGGCTTTTTTGGTTGGCCAAAACAAATTTCGCGTTCTGCCAAGCGCAAAACTATATAGAGTATACTCTCTATATACATGCATATATATATATAAATGGTATATGGAATCAAATCAAACATGGAAATGTGGCAAAGCTTGCTTTGACTAGCGAATGCACTTTAGTTTGATTCAAGTTTATATCTTTATCAATCTTATATTATTTTGTGTTATTGTAAATTCTGATTATTTCAACATATCGAACTATAGTTTTATCTAGTGTAAATTTAGCCAAAGGTTTACTATTTGAAGTACCTATTAGCGCGTTTCAGGCGCATAAATGCAAAAATATGGTCAAAAGTCTAACGGGCTTGGAGTGCTCGGGCCGCTGTTTGAGTGGCGCTTGAGGTTGGGTTTCATGCAAATAATGAATTGCTATTTCTATGGCGATCCGCTCGTGCGCTCTCTCTCTCTACCTCTCAACCTCACCCGCAGTCCGCGTCAGGCTCAGGTATACATTTTTATTAGGCCTGCGAGTGGACAGCGAGAGCAAACATGAAAGCCTTGTGGTAATAACAATTACATTAATTACATTTCAGAACGAAAAAGTGCATGGAGTGGGAGTGCGAGAGAGGTGCTCGAGGACGGTGTGAGAGAAATGACGTCAGATTAATAAGCGCTGTCAACGGTGTTTTCGGCGAAGAAACGGGTTTAATTGAATATTTTTTTTTGGATTCCGGCTAACGCTCGTCGCTAGTAATTTTACATCAAGTGCTTATCCCGCCGGAATATAAATGACGTCATTTAAATGTGTACAGTAAGCACGAAATCCCCACTCACACACAAACGCACATAAAGTGAGAGTTGAGGAAATGTTAAATTGGGTGAAATAATTGAGCACAATTATTTAAAAACTACAGCAGAAGCGGGAGCAATGGCAGCGACAGCGGCAGTGGCAGCAGCGACAGCAAATAAAATTAAATTAAGTGCCAAGCAAACGGATTGCATTGCATTAATGAAACAATTAAGAAGTTTCGACTAATGAAGCCTTAGTCAGCAAAACGGACTGAATTTGAGGCGCGGTCCGCAGCTATTTAACATACACACGATTCGACACGCTCGCAAATAAATGCAATTAATATTTGCGGCATTCGAGCTAATTAATGCTTCTGTTTTTACCACCATTTCGTGGTTTATTTTCGCTGATTTTTGCCCGATTGCTCAGCAGCTCGGAATGCATAAAACATATTTACCGTGCACGGAGAGAGGCATGCTGATGTTTATTTTATTTTTTATTTTAAGTCCACTTTTAAGAACATATAATGAAAACATTATTGAAATTTTTTGTAAATTGTGTTTTAAACTGAATAAAACCTTAAAAAATTCTTTTTTAATTTAAAAAGCTTAAAAAAAGTTTTATTGTCATTCAAATTTAAAAAGATCCAACAAATAATAATGTATTTAAACTTAAAAATATCTTTTTATTTATTTATTTAACTAGTTATTTTTAACGACTTTTTATCAAATTCTTTTATTACTTTTTAATTTGATATTGTTTTTATTTTATGTGGTTATTTATATTTTGATTTTTATTTTATAGAAAAATTTTATTAAAATAAACAATTCCGTCTATTTCATTCATTGAATTTTAATTACAATTATTTATATATTTTTGTGAAATATTTGATTAGTCATAAAAATGTATCTTTTTATATAGATTTTTATAGTTTTACAAATATATTTTTGTATTACTTGCTGACTTGTTTATATTTTAACATATTCGACTTATGTTTTTGATATGATTTAAAGTTTTTATTAAAAGATAAGTTTAGTTTAACTTAATTGGAAATTAAAAGAATGTCAGGCAAATGCCAATAAAAATGGATAATTAAAAAGGCTTCAGACGTTTGCTCCGCTTCAGCATTTAAACTGAGATGTGTTACACAACTGTGTGAGAGACAAACAAACTTTGATTTGGGTATTAATGATGCCAGCGGCATAAACAACAACAGCCACCACAGCCACATACACACACACACACACACACACACACACACACACACACACACACACACACACACACACACACACACATCTGCAGACACACATGCTGTGGTTAGTCTGAGCCTGGGCCCTGGACAGGATCTTTGGTCGCTGAACGCTTCGTGTGAGCCGAAAACCCTAATCACGCCGTTTGCGTTGTCTACGTGACCCGCCTGCCAGTGGTTGAATTATGCAAAAAGCAGGCGATGTTGATGGTGTTGGCGATGGCATTGGCGGTGGGGCTGACGGTGGCTGCCATCCTGCGGTCCCTCGTATATATGCGTCTGGCATGGAAATGGCTCGACTTAGTGGCACAAATAATTAATTACACAGCGCATGCCGAAAACTGAGGTGAAACTTGATAAATCCAATTCCAAAATCCATATACACTATCATCCCAAATGGTTGCGTAACTATAAATAACTAACTTTAGTTATATTTGAATATATTTTAATCAATATATATTTTAATAATTTGTACTGATCGTTCCTTGAGAGAAACAATTGCAATCTGTTTGCTGAAATGTAACCGAATGCATTCAATGCAGCCTTTAATCTACAAAGTACTCATCTTGACTCAGATTTCAATGAGCTTTGAATACCTGCAAGATATTCTATGCTCTAAAATCAATTAAAAACAAACCTTTATACCAAAAAGATAGCTGCTAGGTAAACACTTTGACATAATAAAATAATATATATATATATATCTTAATATATAGCTAAACAGCCTACTATATGCATAGCTCTCTCTCTTGCTGTCAACTTTAAATCCTAACACTTCAATCTGTCCTACTACATTTCAGTATTAGACAACTTTTCACTACGCAATCAAGTAGCATACAAAATAATAATCATAAACAAGAAAATACTTTTACTTCGATTTCTCTGCGCAATGTCGGACAAAAAGGTGAATGCAACGAAGCAGAGTCTGCATTCCAGCGAGCCGGACAGCCTTACCGAATTGGCCTGGCCGCAGTTATTGCCAAACTCTGTGACCAATTACGACGAATACAAATTTAAGCTGGATATGCAAACGCTGCGCAATGAAAAGGGTCTGGCGCTGCCTTTACAGATGTGCATGGAACGGTTCGCCGTCAGCCAAACAGGACGACTTCCGTTTCTGCGGTCCAGCAACTTAATGGATGATGTGCTCACTGGTCGCTGTAACGAGTTCAACTTTTCCGACTATCTCACTCGGCCCGCGTTCGAGCAGCAAGTGCGTTCGCCACACATTGTCATGGAGGAGTTCCTAGGCCTGCAACTCTAAGAGAAAGAGAAAGATTCTATATTTCTCCTCTGTTATGCTTTACAATTAAATACAAATCCCTTGCTGCTGGCCAACTCAGTTATGATGAGTAGTAATAGCACGGAGCTTGCTTAAGTTCTGTTTCTATATTTATTCCATTACTTATCCTCTTTTGCTCTTTACTTTTTCATTAATTGCGAAAGAAGTGTTCGTTCTTTTTCAAGCAATTTTCTCTTGTCTCCTAATGCCATTTTTTGCACTCTTAATTGCTTTCTGCTCATCAACGTGGAGGCTAGACTCGCGTCGCGGCGCACACCTAACGTTAAAGCCTTTAAAGAACCTCAATTTATGTGCACATCATTTGACATGCTTATGAAGCGCACATATTCTATTCCGTGTGGAGATGTGCAAAGGCTTCCGGTTTGTAGCAAACCTAATAACTGGAAGCTGTAAATAACATGGCGATTTCTGAAAACGTCAGTGAAAGAATCAAAAGCTTAGACGGACATGCCCAGCCACTAGACATACAAACACGCCACAAACATGCCACACACACATACACATACACGGACATTGCTGTAGAGCGACACATGCACTCAGGAGTCTGTGGGCAGATGTGAGCACACATAGACGTCAAAGGCAGTTGCCAAACAACACCTCAGCTCATGTAACACCGACACTTAGAAGTTCAAGTAGAAGCTTAACCTGCTGCCGCCGGCGACATTGCCAGGCTGTGCGGCAGGCGTGGAATGGGCGCATCAGAAATACAGAAAGCGAAGTGCGAGGTGGCAAACAACAGAGCCAGAGTCCTATGAAGCAAAAGTAAATTAAAACCGCAGACAAAAAACACACTTACTGAAATGAGCGACAGCCGGAGAGTGCTTTGCCTCAAAGACTTGGCGGTTTTTCGCAGTATACTTAATGAGGCGCAGCCCAGCGACAACTACCAGGATTTTCAGCGAAATGGGGACAAATCTGTATGAAGCATGGATCTCTCCCACTCTCTCTCTCTCTCTCTGTCGGCCTGTGCGAAATGTAATATTATTTTATTATGGCGTGTAAGTTGCGCATAACTAATGCGTTCACGACTCGGCTAAAATTTCACTCAGCTGCTCATTTGGGACAGCGCGAAATAGGCATGCATACAGACAGACACATATATAAATTTGTTTTATGGGTCAGCCTGGTTACGTATACGCACGGCTGGCCAGTTAGCTAAACTTTGTTGCCCATACTCCACTCGCACTTTGCTTTGTTTCCACATGCAGCTCTCGGACTGTAAAATAGAAAGGCATTGCCACAGCCTAATGTGCTGCACGTGCTGTCAGAGAACCCAAAAAACGCGGAACAAAAAAGATGTATTTATTTATATATATATGTATGTATATAAAACGTACAACAAACTGTATCCAAATGTAACGCACAGTGAAAATGATGAACCCTATGTGTTGATTATGCGCTTGGCCTACTTGGCCAACAAATACCCGCCGCCGCACCCAACAGCCTGCGAAACGAGCGCCGGTGCTTGGGCTCCATGATAAATGATGCCTGAACAACTCGGGCGCGCCCCAAAATGCGGCTTGTCCTGCAAGTAGATTAGCATTGAATTTGAATGGAAACTGAAAATGAAAATGTTTTACACAGAATAAAATGGGCTGGCCATTGACTGGACCGAACCGTGCCGGAGACAGTGCGTTGGCTGCTCTCTGTCCGCAGTCTGTAGCAATAATCAAATGAACTAAATTGTCATAAATCAAAGTTAGTTGGAATAGTCTCTCTCTAGTCGTCTCGGATCAAAGGCATAGATAAAATTTCGGTGCACGAAGCATTTCGAAAGCTGGAATACTTAGGATTGTTTGCTGCTCGCTGCTCGGCTATTTGTCAGAGCTCTGCTCAGATAGGGAGAAGGCCTGCTTAAGCCATTATTGACTGAGAGTTCGCCTTGGTATTGGTCAATATATTTTTAGAAACTGTGTGGGTCTTGTGTGTGATTGAAGACTAATGAACAGCAGCTGAATGAGTAGTGGAGGTCATAGCTGAGCCCTCTCACGTGTTGTAATATTTAAGTGCCTTGCATGAAGCTAGCAATTTGAATGCATTAAAGCAGCTTCTACTTCCACCTGACGCCTTTTAAATTCAACTACCAGTGACCTAGGGCAATGCAATTATGCTTGACAGGCCTTGTTGTTCAAGTAAATTTTGTGTGCTGCAAACTGAATTGCAAAAGTGCCCAGCTATAAGTAGACAAATCAGCCGGAACACAAACGGGCAATAAAAGAGGACCCGAACAGACTTCAAGCCACCTACTTAATTGAGCAATTTTGTGTGCAAGCGAAAGCCCAGAAGAGAGAGGGAGACAGAGAGAGGGAGGCTTGAGCACTCACATGCTGCTGCTGCCAAATTGTGTCTAAACACTTTACATTGCAATTAGTCAGGAGGAGGTTGGTGCACCTGGCTCAGGTGTAATCAGAGCCGCAAAGACAACGCCAAACACATGACTCCAAGCGCCAACTGCAGGCTGCAATTTTATTTTTGTATTTCGTATTTCGTATTGTTATTTCGCAGTGTTTTTTTTCGTGTTGCTGCAGCATATTTAAGTGCTTTATTTGTTTGCTCGTTTCGGGTGGGCGTAACAGCCGTATTGTTTGCAAAGTGCTGCATTTAAATGGCGACACGTGTCTAGGCCGTGTCCAGCCAGCCGGCTGTCTGGCGTGAAGCGCATTGTCAAGTGTCAAGTGAGGCAGAGATCACAGATCTTGGCGGCCAATTGTGGTGCAGTTGGCCTTTAAGCAGAGTTGATTAACCGTGCCGCGAGCTCCGTATTAAATAAGCAGAGATAACTGGCTGGCATAAAAGTTTTAATTGAACAAAGAGTAGTTGGCTGGGCGGTTGCTCTTGCATGCCAATGACTTTTATACCTTTTCTGCCCGTTGGCCATTCATAATTACCGAAAGGAAGAAAGGCTGCGTTGCTGCGTGGCTGCTGCTGCTGCTGCTGCTGCGTCAAATAAAAAGGACTGCAGGCAGCCCGAAAAACGCAGACACTCACCCACACACACACACACAAGCAAGCACACAAATAACAAAGCAACGTTCGCGTCGGCAGCGCCTTTTCATGGCGTGTCTGTTGCGGGTGCACTGAACTTGTATGGAAAGTGGGCAGGGCAGCTCGGCAGGGTCTGAGGTAGAAAATTGTTAAAATCATTTCCTGCATTGCACGCTACAAAAACTTTAAATGCACAACATGCAACAACAAAAACAACTACAACAAGCAGAGCAACAACAAGCAGTTCGTTATGGCTACAACATCCTGGCCAGCCGTAGGGCAGAGCCCAGCCAAGGAGGCTGGGCCCGAAGTTCGCGCAGCGCAACTTGTGAAACTTATAAAGCCTCAACTCCTTGCCAGTTGATTATGTACAGCAAGTCTAATTAAAAGCAGTTGATGCTGCCATATTGGTCGCTTCGTCTAGTGCCTTTTTGCCATTATTAAAGCATACTTTTTGGGGCGCGAAGAGAGCGGAATTAATCAGTTGTATTTTGCCAGCAAATAAGATAAGGTCATAATAAGGTTTTTATAATTTACTAAAATTAACATTTTAATTAGTTACTTTTTAATGAAATAATTTTAAATATTTGCCAGAAATAATATTGTAAAGCAACAAATGAAAGTGTTGAAGTGCGCTTACTTTTGTATAAAATTGTTTGAGGGGGTTTTAAACAGAGCTTGCTGTACATTCATGGAACTAATATATATTTTGGCAAAATAAAATATTTTACGTAAACGAAAAGTGTAAAAAAAGCTAAGAAACTGTTCCTAAAACTCGTTCCACAAGTTCCACAATTTGTTGTGGATGTATGTTTCTCAGTTCTGGCATAAGAGAGACAAAGATAGCTGTTGTTGAATGTGGTCTCGGAGGTTGCCCAGTGAGAGTGAGATGGCTAGTTAGGCCGTTCGGACATAGTCCATATAATTGTAAGTGGACGAAGAGGAATGGACTTGACGATCGTTATAGGGCTCGATTGTATAAATATAAATTAAATTGGACTGTGGCTAACCACCTGACTGAGTATTCGTCTTAAACTATCTATTTTTAGTCAGTCAACATGTCATATGAAATAATTGGAATTTTATACTAATAAGCAATCAACACTGTAAAAAGCAGTGTCCTCCTCTCCGTTGCTGTGAACTTGCTGCACCTGTTTTATACTAGAGAAAAGACATTACAAAATTGAACCTGCTTTAAGGCAAAGACAGTTTTATAAAAATATTCGAAAAAGCTGGGTCCTCAAAATTATTCACAGAAAGCAGCTAAATTTAGAGTCATGCCTAGTTAAGCAACTATTTATGAATGGCATTTATATATGAGTTCATTCACTTGCGATTAAGCTAGCATAAAGGGCAGGCAAAAGATTTGAAGCACTTTTATGCAAATGTAATATTTAATCATAAGTCGGCTGCGTAATTGCACAGGGCAATAAAATTAATCAGAAATGCTCAGAGAAAAACAAAAATTTACGCTAAATTGAGCAGCGCAGATGCTGCCATTTCTTAAGGGCAGCAAAAGCCTCTGTACGTGTGTGTGTGTTTGTGCAGATGAATGCCGACTCGTATATAAATCGAACAATAGCAAAAGTAATGCTTATCAATTATGAATCAATGAAAGGCAAAGGCAAAAGCACAGCCAAAAAGAAAAAAACACAACACGACATTGCCTGGCAGAAATTGTACAATTGTGCGGAAAGGAGGCTTTGAGATTGGGCAATCCCCCATGCGATATACAAACGTCGTACATATGTCGTCATTACGGTCGCATTGTGTTTGTTTTAATCAGCGGCTGCGGCAGCGGCAGCGGCAAAATGTTTGCAGCCTAGCTGAAGAAAAACGCTGAAATGGTTGCCAACAAAAAAAAAGCGGCATCAAGCAAATCAAATCGGCAGCAAATAAACCAAGTGAAAGTGTTGGCAGCTAGTGCTGGCAGCGCAGATACCCTGTACATGGCTTTGAAGTGCTGTAATGGAGATGATCCTCAAGCAATTTCTGCTATCAATTAAAAATGCAAAATAACTTTCATTGGCAAAGTAGAAGTAAAACGCAGACCTTAGACGCACTTACGAACTT